AATTCAAAGACCCAATCCAAAAATGGGCAGTGGAGATGAACACACACTTCTCAGATAAAGAAATACAAATGGCAAATAAATATATGAGAAAATTTCAACATCATTAGTCATTGAAGAAACGCAAATTAAAACAACATTGAGATTTCATCCCACCACAGTAATAATGGCTATCATTAAGAAATCAACCAATAACAAATGCTGGCAAGGCTGTGGAGAAATAGGAACCCTCTCCACTGCTGGTGAGAATGCAGACTGGTGAAACCACTGTGGAAATCAGTTTGGAGATTCCTCAGAAAACTAGGTCTACAGGTCCCATTCAACCCAGCTATTCCCTTTCTGGCTATTTTCCCAGAAGATCTGAAAACATCATATCACAGAGATATATTTGTACCCATGTTCATAGCAGCCCAATTTGTAATTGCTAAATTGTGGACGCAACCCAAATGTCCATCCACTGAGGATTGGATAAAATAATTGTGATATTTTTATATAATGAAATATTACTCAGCTATAAAGAAAGATAAACTCGAGGCTTCTATAGGTAAATGGTCACAACTAGAGACTATACTCATAGGTGAAATAAATCTCACCTCCATGTGAAAACATTGTATTGACTCACAAGTATAAGAACCTGAAAGAGTGAATAAAAACTAGGAGGTATGATAGACATTATGAAACAAAAGGAAAATGCTCAAAAGTAAAGGGCAACTGGGGTGTGGGAAAAGTGAAGGGAAAGAAGAGGAAATTATGTAAGTATGTACGTACAGAATAGCTAACATAGTTGTACTACTGACTTCTATCACTTTACTGAAAGGAACAGTTACTGATTACTTATTTGATCAATCTTTCATGTCTCTGTTTTCCTGAGAAACCACTTTGAAGACATCAATACCACATACAATAGCCATTGTTCATTTCCTACCACTTTGTCTGTAATTCAGTATTGCTTGTATTGTTCTTATGCTATTTTGTAAATAGAGGTCTGTTTGTTAATGTGTTTTCCTTCTTTTATTTTTAAAATAAATTTTAAAAAAACACAAGTGTTTCCCAAGGAAGCTATAAAGAAACATCTAGTTCAGAATGAACAAACCCAAGAGAAGGAGGGGTCTTCAGGGCAGCTATCAGATCAATTAATTCAAAACCTTATTTAGTTGACAGCAGCAGCATTCATCCCAGGATAAAGCCTAGCAGGACTGTTTAATGTTCAGTGTGAGAGACCTTTACCTTGGCAAGGCCCTTGCATGAATAGGCTGGGGCTGGACATGAGCGAGGCAGAACCTGAGTGCTCTTGGAACACTCCCAGCCACAGGAAGATGAGGAAGAGAACAACCACTGCCCCCTTTGTCTGCGGGACAAATTTAGGAGAGGGCACTGTGAAGCTAGAGTTGTGACCATGGATCTTTCAAAGCAAGCAGTGTATCACCTGCCCTACAACAGCCATCAGGGCTGGGAAGTTCCCGCCACTAAACCAAAGTTTTCTGTGTAATGTGCGTGTTTTCCCAGCCTGCCTCTTCCCCCAAACATCCAAGGAAGGTTTCTGTGTTGAAGTTCACTGACAGGGAAAGAAGTTCCAGTTTGATCTATTGGCCTAGTCTACCAACCCTGTTTGACAAATACGCTCAATCATAAATATAAATTGCAACCCAAACTCAAACTTCTGAAGAAATTTCGAATGAAAGTGAGCCTCTGAAACTATTGGGAAAATCCAATGTTTTTGAGTAGCATGAATAGAAAAACATTACCTGCATTTAGACATACCCTAATGTAATTTCAGCATGTCACAGGTAAAGATAAAATCCCAAACATTTCCCCAGAGAAAAAA